TCAAACTCTTGGGCTTAAGCAATTCTCTTGCCTCAGCCTCCCAAGTAGCTGGAACTACAGGTGCCCGCCACAACGCCTGGATATTTTTTGGTTGTAGTTGTCATTGTTGTTTGGCAGGCCCAGGCTAGATTTGAACCTGCTAGCTGTGGCTGGTGCCCTAGCTGCTGAGCTACAGGCACCGAGCCTGATTTCAGACTTCTGACCCCAAACTGCAAGATAATTTTATTGTGTTGAACCACTAAGTGTGTGGCAGCTTGTTACAGCTGTTGTAGAAAACTAATATGGTGGTTTAAGGCAAGAAAGCCAGAATAATCACAGAACCTGTACAGAATGTTTTAAAGTTAATTTGATTTGCTGGCTTAATAATTAGCTAATCAGAAGGGAGGCCAGAAAGGATTGAGATGGTAACACTTGGTAGGTAATTTTGGAGGAAAAGTAAAAGATGTAGTTGTTGGAAACATGATGGAATATTACATGCTGAAATTTCAACTTGTTTTATAGTACATTGAAGCTCTTGATGACATTTTTCTTCATATTTTACACAGATCAGAAACCTCTTGACCTTGCTCAGGGTGCTGAAATTAAACAGATTCTTCTTGGCAATAAGGTGGGTGGTAATAGATTGAAGTTATGTAATAATTTTTAGAAAAAAAAATTGGAATGGTTGAGATATACAGATGTGTTTGTAATGAAAGCATATTTTCAATGCAGGTCATCTACAAAGCATTGAAACGATATGAAGGCCCTCTCTGGAAGGTAGGTAGGGAGTTTGTTTGTTTTTTTAATTATAACACTGGAAAGAAGAATTCTCAAGTGCTTCATTTCTATTAATTTTTTAAAAGTCATTTCTGAAGTACATGTGACTTAATCATTCTTGAATCTTATAATGTAAACCATTTTTATACTGATGGACTTCAAAAGGCTTCTTATGGTTGTAATAATTATGTTCTTTTGTGTAGATGGTTTCTTTTAGGTTTTTTTTAAAAATGTGGATACATTGTTAGTGACTTTTAGGTGACTAAATTTGTACAAAAAGGTATGGAGGAAGATAGCATTTTTTTCCTCATTAAATTAGAGAGTTACACTATTATTTTTGTTATGAACATTGAACCATGGAGGACCTAAGAGAAAATTAATATTTGAATTGTCATATATACAATTTTTCTGGTTCTAGTAATTTCTGTTTTAGAATTTTAGAGTTCAGTCATTTTTCTGGAATTAACCATGTTAGAGCACATAATTTCTTTTGCGTTTGTGAGCAGTCTCTCTGTACCTAGATTTATATTCCTTTATGTTTATATTATATGGAATTAGGATAGTTTTCTTTTTTTAGACATTCATTCATGACCTTGAGAAACTTGTCTTTGAAGCCCCAGACTGGTATATTTTTCTATAAACATCCCTGAACAGTATTGTCACACCCACACTCTGTCCTCATCACTGACCATATCCATACAGCAGTTCTTCTGTTCCTGGCACCTTGTATGTTTTTATTGCTGCACTTAGTACGTACGTTCATGCTTGCTCATTTTTTAACATTCAGTAAAAAGACTTCAGATGTAACTGTCATAACAATTACTTTTTCAGTTAGGTATTTGAATGTAGATGTGTCAGCTTGAGAAATCTTTGTCATTTTTCCTTTAGAGTTCAAGATTTTTTGGCTGGAGATTATTCTGGGTAGTGTTAGAACATGGAGTCCTTTCATGGTATAGGAAGCAGTAAGTATTACGATCTTTATAACTTACTCAGTTTTAGTATATAAATTTTAAAAGATGAATTTTTTTTTTTGTTTACATCTTTTCCTTTCTCTTGATGTTTGAAATTTATTTTGAAGGCCTGATGCAGTTCATGCTATTCATCGCCAGGGATGCAAACACCTGACTCAAGCAGTATGCACGGTAGGGTGAGACTCGTGTCTTGTGCTCTGTGAAATCAGTTCTGCAAGCAACTGCCCCAAATCATTTATATAAGCCTTGTGGGTTATATAGTCCAACCCCAAATGTTGGGGTTCTGTGGAATGGTGCAGAAAGCTCTTGTGTATATTTTTATTTGAGAACGAGTAAAGTTGTAAAATCTCCATGTTGGAAGAAAGTTAAAAATACAATCAACTTTTATGTATGTATCTCCACATATTGTGGAATGACAGCCGGAGTATCCAAAAACATCTGTACAGAACTTTTAACATTTTGTGTGTGTATTTATACATGGGTAAATCTGGAAAACAGAACTTTTTCTGAATTCAAAATAAAATTTAAAGCCTATGTCAAAATCAGGAATCTTAGATTCTCCATATTTACTTCTAGTTTTTTCAACCAGGAGTATAAGCACGTTTTTTCCTATAGGGACTAATCTAGACTGGAGGCCAGACATTCTTTCTTGATTTCCATTTTAAGTACTTCAGGATGGTTAATAGAGCATCAGTCTGTCTGCTTTTCAGAGTGCCCCTCCTGCCTCTTCCCTCCGTCCCAGGGTGTCAGTTTAGTCACTTAACCCCCTGCAGTACCACCTGGTTACACAGCCTGGCCCTTTGATATCCTTTGCACCTTATCAGAAATCATTTGAGGGTGGTGCCTGTGGCTCAAGGAGTAGGGCACTGGCCCCATATGCTGGAGGTAGTGGGTTCCAACTCAGCCCCAGCCAAAAACTGCAAAAAAAAAAAAAAAAGAAAGAAAAGAAAAAAAGAAATCATTTGAGTATACATGTGAGGCTTATTTCTGGGACCTCACTTCTCTTCCATTGGTATATCTATTTGTTTTTATGCCAGTACCATCTTATTTGGATTACTATAGCGTTATAGTAAGTTTTGAATTCAGTATATGTGGTGCCTCCAACTTTGTTCTTCATTTTCAAGATTGTTTTGGCCATTCATAGTCCCTTGGGATTCCATATGAATTTTAGGGTGGATGCCTCTCATAAATTTTTCTGTTTTTGTCTTATTTTAGCCCAGACTATTTTCTGATTTATTTATTTATTTGTTTTTATTTTTTTGAGACAGAGTTTCATTCTGTTGCCACAGAGTAGTGTGCCTTGGTGTCAGCCGAGCTCACAGCAACCTCAAACTTGGCGTTCAAGCCATCCTCCTGCCTCAGCCTCCTGAGTAGCTGGGGCTATCAGTGCCTGCCACAGCACCTGACTGGTTTTTCTACTTCTATATTTTTCTTTTAGTGGAGACAGGGTCTCGCTTTTGTTCAGGCTGGTTTCCAACTCTTGAGCTCAAATGATCCTCTTGCTTTGGCTGCCTGGCTTACTAGGATTACAGGCATGAGCCACCTCACCTGGCTTAATTTTTCTTGCTTATTTTTTCTTTGACATGTTGGTTGAGAGGAATGGTGTTTCATTTCAAAATGAAATTTTTCTTGAATCTTCTCCTGTTTTTGTTTTCTAATTTAGTTCCACTGTAGTTGGGGAACAACCTTTGTATGATTTCTTAAGACCTTTTCAATTAATTGACATTTGTTTCATTACTTACCATTTGGGTTAATCTAGAGAATGTTCCATGCGTGCTTGGAAAGAATGCATATCCTTCCTATTGGGTGGAGTGTTCTGTAGCTGTCACTATATCCTTGCTGATTTTATGTCTAGTTCCTTTCCATTTTTGAGAAATGGGTATTGAAACCTCCAATTACTGAAGAATTTTCTATTTTTTCCTTTGGTTCTGTCAGTGTTGGGTGCATAGGTTTTGGAGCTCTGTTTTTAGGTGCAGATGTGTTTATGACTGCAATTTCTTCCTTGCTCTTTTGCCATTATAAATATCTCTTTTTGTCTCTAGTACCATTCTTTCACTTAGTCCATTTTGTCTGAAATTATTGTATTAGTTTGCTATAGCTACCATTAAAAAAAATCCCACAGACTGGATGGATTAAACACAGAAATTTACTTTTGCACAGTTCTGGAGGCTGGAAGTCAGAAGTCAGAGTTAGGAGGAGGGTTGGTTTCTCCTGAGGCCTGTCTCCACGGCTCACCTTCTCCTGTGTCTTCACATGGCCTTGATGCTGTGTGCGGGCTGCCTGGCTCCTCTCCCTCCTCTTACAAGGACCCCAGTAATTCTGGAGTCAAGCCCCATCATGACCACCTCATTTCACCTTGATTAATTACCTCTCCCTTATCTCCAGGTATAGTCTCATTGAGGGTTAGAATTTCAGGAGTTTGGGGGTGGGGCACAGTTCAGCATATAACATTGCTGTAGTCACTTCAGCTCTCATGTGGATCCTGTTCACGTTGAATTTCTTTTTTCCATCCTTTTACTTTCAATCTGTTTGTGTCTTTGAATCTAAAGTGCACCTTTTATAGGCAGCAAATAGTTGTGTCTTATATTTTCCTTTAACGTGACGATCTCTGCCTTGTGGTTGGAATGTTTAATAAATTTACACTTAATGTTATTGATGTGGTTGGTTTTTTATCTGCCGTTTTTGTTTGTTTTTGTGTTTATACTTTTTTGTTTCTCTTTGCTTTTTTTTTTTTTT